TTACAGTTATATATTGCTTTTCTGGACACTCCACTCAAAGCGCTTTACAGGTAATGGGGACTCCCCTCCACCACCACCAGTGTGCAGCATCCACCTGGATGATGCGACAGCAGCCATAGTGCGCCAGTACTCTCACCACACACCAGCTATCAGTGGGGAGGAGAGCAGAGTGATGAAGCAAGTTCAGAGATGGGGATTAATAGGAGGTCATGACTGATAAAGGCCAATGGAAAATTTGTCCAGGACGCTGGGATAATACCCCTACTCTTTTCGAGAAACGCCCTGGGATTTTTAATGACCACAGAGAGTCTGGACCTCGGTTTTACGTCTCATCTGAAGGACAGTGCCATTTTACAGTATAGTGTCCCCGTCACTATACTGGGGCATTAGGACCCACACAGACTGCAGGGTGAGCGCCCCCTGCTGGCCCCTGCTGGCCCCACTAACACCTCTTCCAGCAGCAACTTTTAACGTTTCCCAGCAGGTCTCTCATCCAGGTACTGACCAGGCTCACACTGCTGAGCTTCAGCGGGCTGCCAGTTGTGAGTTGCAGGGTGATATGCTGCTGTAATAATGTGACAACAGACATCCAAACCAATAATGTGACAACAGACATCGCGCTAATAGAGGTACTAACCATCGTAAAAGCAAAGTAATGTTAAACCAAGTTCCTAACAAATATATCAGCATTAAAGGGCCCGGGAAATCAATGGTAAGAATAGGATTGTTAACCCCCCATGCCCTGGCTAAATTCCACTCTAGGCTTGCACACTCTGACCTGCCTACTGTCAAATCTCCCACTCAGTCCAGTAGGTAGAGTAACTGCGCACTATTCTTTCAGCTGATCTGCTGAGCAGTGGGGCCGTGAGCACATGAGAACTGCTACACCAATCCAGGTGTGTCCCTCCTGCAAGTGAAAACGCTGTGGGATCCTCTGAGATGAAAAGTGATATATGCACAAATTATGAATGACATATTTCCCTGCAGAACGCCCTGGGCAACTACACAGGAGAGTGCCAAGGAACAAGTAAAGGTTTATCCCATGCTGAAAAGAGAAGAAAAGAAACACGGTGTTTCGGCTGTGGAGCCTTCTTCAGGCCCGTCACACACCTGAAGAAGGCACGGAATAAACCTTTACTTGTTCCTTTTTGCAGCCGAAGCATGGTGAACTCCCTGCTCGAGCTTATACCTTATACCTATGGCGAGCAGCTCGTTGGCATAATGGCTTCAGTGCCTGACTCGCATTCTGGAAGCTGGGGTTCGAATCCTGCTCACGGCATGAGTTCTCCTTTTCCCACGGCCGGTAGAGGAATCCTACTCCATCGGGCCCCTGAGCAAGGCCCTTCACCCCAGCTGCTCCAGGGGACCGACCCTGCGCTCTGACCCCCAGCTGTACCTGCGCCCGCGGTGCTGCTGCACGGACTGGCAGGCCGTCTGCATGAACACGATCCCCCGCAGCTCCGCGAACTCCAGCACCTCCAGGAAGTCCTGCACCACTCCCACATCTGGCACCACGTAGTGGGTCACATCCCCGGGCAGCACCTTCCCTCCTGCTGGCAGACAGACACCAGGGCCGGTCAGCACCCGCGCTGTTCCCCCCCCGCCGCTGGCACTGCCTCTGGGGCTGCTGGTCGTCATCATCATCATCATCATCATCATGGCTGCTGGTCATCACTGCTGCTTCCACTACACGGCTCTCTACAGCTTTAAGAGCCTGCCACAGGACTATATGTGGACCACTACGCTGTTTTTGGACCAAACGTCTGTTTTTTTTCTGTTTTTTGTGCAATGTATTTTTATATTTATAATGTGCAATATAACTTTTTGTGTACTGTTCTGTTTTTTGTACATTCTGTACTGTGAGCAACTTTTTTGAGTGCACTTCTCACTGACTGTGTTGTGTTGCTGTATTATTGTATTATTTCCTTACACAGTTGCTGTGTTGACTGTGCTCAGCTGCTGTTGCACTGCAATTTCCCTTA